AAAGTTGGTGATGATTCTTCAGTTTCAAAGTAAAATTTGGTGTTTTAAGGAAATTTATCTCAAAATTGAAGTTATTAAAAGGCAAAAATTTCAAGGCTAAAAGGGTAAGAATTTAAGGAGATACAGCGAAGAAATGAAATTTGGAAAGAAAAAAAAAATTATTAAGAACAAATTGACAGATAAAATGCAGCAGTAAATGAGCTTACTGTAATTCTTGATTTTTTATTGATTTCTTTCTCAAAGCGTTCTATGTCAACAACAAAGCTATCAGATTCAATCCGTCACTGTTGTAATCCATTTTCATGATCACAAAACAGAACTTTTTGATTACCCTTTTCTTCAAATTCACAGTTTGAACTCAGACTATCAGAACCCGAATCCCCCTAAATTCAAATTAAAAACACATTATGTAAAAACTCAAGAAACGTGAAAATTCAATAAAACAGTAAAATAACAGGTCTTCAAAGAAATCATGCTCACCAACTTTGGATTTTCAGTCACTTTCACCAACCAGTGCAATAAATTATAAGGAGTTGTCTGGCTGGTGTCACCAACTTGTATAACAATTAACAAATCTAGATATTTCTTTCAGATTTCCACCACCTGATACATCAAAACAAACAGAACCCCAGTTAGTCATCTTGCACAAAGTCTGTCGTGAATGATAAAAAATCAAGAGGAAAAAACTTAAATAAATCTTTTGAAATTCCAGACCTTTAATCAAGAAAACGAAAATATTTCTTTTTCTTGTTATGATCGGGGTGGTGAGATAATTGGACTCGACAGTGATTGATTAATGAATTAAAATGTCTATGTTTGCTTTTATGGTCAAGGCCAACGTTTACCCGTATTTATTACGGATAAAGGACTCTGTGGCACTAGGCATACTCCAACTTTTACCATGAAGTGTCAATTTTTCTCTTAAAAACAAATGACTAAAAGTTCTATAAAATATCAATTTTATATCTCCTCGTGCACCCCCAATCCCTCCACCCCCACGTGCTCCCCAATTCAACATTTAGACACACTTCTACAATCAATGTATGGGGGTGGAGAGTAGGGGAGGTTGGAATCAAGATTGTGGTAGTGGAGGAGGTGTTGATGGGTTGTTGCGATAGAAGAATGTGGAGTGATACTGAATGTTTTGTATACAGTAATAAATATTAATATTTTTTTTTATATCCTAATATTGTTTAATAATAAAGTTACTTTTATCAAATATGTAATAAAGGCATTTACCAACTTTTTATTTTTATTTTTAAAACACTAATTAATGACGTGTTTGATATGAATGATTTAATAGCATTTTTCTAAAAGCGCTTCAGACATGAGCGAAACGTCACGTCTTGACACTAAATGCGAAATTAAGCATTGTGTTGTTAAACAATGTTGAATAACGATAATTAAAGAAGAGAAGCTAGTCAAAGTCTTGTTCATTTTATTACATAATCTTGTTCAGCATTGTGATGTTTAGTTTTTTTTGAGGGAAAAATAATAATAATATAAGATTTTATGTTATTTTAATTTCTCAATACTGTGAGGTGCAAATTCGTTAATTCTTGTAGAAAGTAACTATAATCCTAATTAACATACTACTGCAAGAAAAAGTGTAAAATAATCCAAATAATAAATTAGGTGATTCTTCAATAAAAGATCACCTAGCAAATAATCGAATCTTAAGGACTTTCCTCAACCCCATGATGTGATGAGTCGACATTTAGATATATAGATGAAAAATGGTGAATGAGGAAATGAAAGAAAAAAGAGAAAAATGGTGAAAAAGACAAAGTTAAAAGTGTGAGGATCAAATTGCAAATATTCGATAGTTGATTCGGTCCACAAGACGATACTTTGAAAATTGTTAAGAGATAATTTGATGAAATTAAAACTAAAAAAGAAATAGAATATTATCAAATTTTAATTGAAAAAATTCTACTCTAGAAAAATTGTAGTCTTTTGAGTTCACTTTCAAACGCACTTTGAATCATCTAAATAGGATATCGAGAGAGAATATTATGACAAAAATACTATCTGTTATGAAGAGACAAAAACATCCGTGAGCAAAGACAGCTTCCTTTATTTGATTGAAACTCTTTGAAAACCAATTTGGACCTGATTTTTAATTAATTTTCGACTCTTACAAATACTTAACAACATAATACATATTAGACACTTCTCATACTAAAAAATTCCATCAATTTTCATCATAAATGAGGGGTAAAATCATATATTGTGAGAAGATTTCAAAAGTGAAGATCAAGAACTCATCAATTAGAAATTAAATCTAGGATTTTTGGGCAAATAACTGAAAGAATAATTGAAAATTTATCAAGATTATTTTAAAGAAATTCAAGAACATCAAGATTCATCTTCCTTCATTCATTAATTCACAATTTCGGATGATGTGCTATACATTTAATATGATTTCTTGTAATTTCAATATGTTATACTAGTTTTATACATTGTTAGGATGAGATGATCTCTTATTATGATATTTTTAGTTCTTAATTAATTATTTTGACTTTAATTTGGTTTGATGAATGTGTATTATCGTTTTTATTGTTCTTTTCAATTGCTTGATCACCAATTGAATTATTAGTGAATTTTAATATTTTTTAGAGACAATAAGGTTTAAGTACAATAAAATAAACATTGTAAGGTTCGATTGAGGATATAGATATATCTCTATGCTCTATATGGTTTCAATATGTGTTCTAACACTTGTTAATGCATTTATCATGTTTGAATCTTTCATCGAAAAATAGGAGGATCGCGTGTAGGGATGGCAACGGTTCGGTTCGATTCGGCCAAAACCATAACAGCACCACCAAATTTTTGGTCATACTAAGTCGGTTCGACTCAGTTCAGTTCGTATAACGGTTTGGTTCGATTAATAACCTCGAAAATAAATTATTTTTTATAAGTCCAAACTCCAATCGTCAAATTGAAAAAAACAATTACGAAGAAAAGTCAATAAAAACAAAAACACAATACTAAGTCAATTTAGCAAACAATATCCCACCTTCTAAATGCAAAATTCAAATTTAACAAACAATATTTTCAACATAGGTTAAGACTCTTACTAGCATATGTCAATTTTCATTCTTCTCTACAACTCTTACTAGCATAGGTCATGAGTCAAGACAAAAAGTTGATTCATATATAGTAAATAAGAAATGTAATTAAAATAATAATACAACCATACTACCTAATAAAAAATGGTCTTAATTAAATATTTAAACAAAAAATTGTACCTCTTCGTCAATATCCTCCTCACTAAACCTTGCACAAGCTCTGGAGTATAATGAAAGAGGAGAAATTTCTGCACACAATAGAGAAAAAAATAGTAATAAAAGAAAGTGCATGAATAACAAATATAAAACAACAATTCTACCATGAATATTAGTCCAAAAACAATCCCGAGTACACATTAAAGCTTCTGAAGTCTTCGAGTGAAGCCTATTTCTATGTTGACTCACAAATCTACCACGTGTACTAAACGCTGACTCAGATGCCACAGTAGATACTGGAATGGCTAATAAATCTCTAGCAACCTTCTGTAAAGTCGGATATTTTATTGAACTTGCTTTTCACCATTCAATAAATCAAAATCATGTACCCTGGCAATACTGGCTCGTCTAGAAAAACATCAAACTCTATTTTTACATGATCGGAGGTATTAGAATTGCTAACAAATGTATCAAAACCAGTCATGCGAGCATGTTTTCCAACAGTAGTAGACGACTCTAATTGCAAAGATCATGAAGAGTGAGATGTATTTTTCGGGCCACGCATCATATATTTAAATAATATTATAAAGAAAATACAATCAAGTATAATGTATCTGGATTTTGTTGAATTGTACAGGGAAGATGGTTTGAAGTCAATGGATGCAGAACAATTTAGGGAGTGTGCTCACAAGATGGTAGACTTCGTTGCTGATTACTACAATTTGAAGCTGAGGTACAGGCAGTAGAACGCCGACGGATATGATTTGGTTCATTGGTTGAGTGGACGAGTGTTTTGTAAGTTTGGTTTTCAATTTTCAACTTTAACATGTAGGGTTAGAGTTAGGTTACTGAGTTAAATGTTTACTATTAATGTTAATTGGACCAGAATTTTGGGGAATCTCAATTGTCAAAATTGTCCAATTAATTTTGGGAAAGAATAATTAAAAGCTCAATTGTCCAATTAATTTTTTTTAATGGGTAATCGGTTCGGGGTGGGGTACTGTCTCTAAATACCATCCCGCCCCGCCCCCACCCGAACCGGGTCATTAAAAGCAAAACCACCATATTGCACCATTGATTCAATTTTTTTTCACCCCATTTGATTAATCGCGATTTTCGATTTTAACAGTTCGAATTGTCGTCCCTAATCGCGTGAGGGGAATATATTGGATCTCTATCGAGAGAGACTTTCAATTAAATTAGGAGCATTGACTAATATGAATTTTTTCAAATTGTCGCTTTAATTGTCACACTAAAAATGGAATAACAAGGGATTTAACATTTTGACAATGCATCTCATATATTTGAAAAACACTTTTAATTGCTTTTACTACTTTAATTGATAATTTAGGAATTAGTATAGAAAAATCACAATAACGTGTTTGCTATTCGATTGAAGTTGCAATTAATTTTAACTCGATCAAACAAAGAGTTCTCGTGAGTTCACACTCTATTCATCATTATATTACTTGACGACAACCTCATGCGCATATGAGCTTTCAAAGGAATAATAAAAGGTATTGAATACTCGTACTTGGAAAGCATTAATTTCTTTTCTCCAAATAACGCAATAATTTGTGCAAGCGAATTGTCAAATCAGATAGGTTGAACTAAGGTTAACTGATTTAAGAATAAATGGCTTTTTCTCTTCACTGTCTTATAAATGTGTGGTTTTAGGGTTTATAGTTTGATTTTTGGAAATGCGAAATGTGTGATTGTGTGAACATTCATTTATCAGAGTTCGCCGCAAAATGATGTAATTGTTGGGATATGTGCCCCCAATTGTATTAGATCGATGGCTATTAAATAATGGCTGATAACTCCTTTTGAGACTGTCATGGCTATATGTTCGATTCTCATTATTTTCAAAATATATATTTTTCTTTCTTTTTCTCAAACACTACACGTTCTTCAATAAAATAATATTACCCGTGAATATAAAACTTTTTCTTATTTTTCAACCATAAATTTATTATTTCAAAATGTATTTTTTTAAGAAAAAATGAGGCTCAAACGAGAACAAATGAAAGACACTTTCCATAAATCATAAGGAATCTATTCTATACCTAGTGTACAAGCTAACTAGCATCATACACCTTCTTCATAATCAATCATTTCTTTTCTTGAATGTCAAGTAATATAGCAATTCATCAATCTTCATTCCTATTAAACTTTTCTGCGCATGAACATGAACAAATTATTCTTTTCTTTCCACTTGCCAAAGACTCAAAACATTCCAATAACAACCCATTAATGGCTACATAAATATAGCTACTCTCCAAAATGAACTCTGATCATCAACATCATAAACTTTTTTACCTTGTATTATTAGCAGCCAGAAAGAGTAAAAATGAGATCCCAGAATGAACTACCCGTTCAATCCACGGCCGGAAACCACCCCATGAAGCGGCACCACACGGCGGGTTACTACGCTCGCCGGGTGAAAGAAAATCTAACCACCAGAGTTTTCAAGCTAATTTGTGCCATATTTTTAACCATGCTATTTCTAGTAGGCATTCTCACATTCGTTTTATGGCTCAGTTTGCGTCCTCATCGGCCGAGATTTCAAGTACAAGAATTATCAATCCCGGGTTTAGGACAAGGAAACAGATTTGCGAAGGCTCATATAATCTTCAATGTAACCGCCCGTAATTCTAACCAGAATGTTGGGTTTTATTACGATGCAATTCAGATTACAGTGAATTACCGAGATCAAAGTATAGGTGGGGAAACATTGGCATTTCCATTCTATCAAGAGCCAAAGAACACGACAATTCTGGCCGGTATACTTGGTGGCAATTCTTTGAGAGTGACGGCTGGTCAGTGGCGACGGCTCGTGGCAGACCGTTGGCGAGGAGTGGTGGTTTTCAGCATCGAATTATCTTCGACCATTCGGTTCAAAATATCAACATGGAAAAGTAAGCGCCATAGGATACACGCTACTTGCCCAGTTGCTGTTGGTGCAAATGGGTCGATATTGGCTACAGATAAAGATAAAAGTTGTCAAGTTTACTTTATCTAATTTTCGGCCATGCTTAAGAACGATATTTATTATTATTATTATTTTATTATTTTATTTATCTATTTGGGTGTTCTGAGAATGGTTCATTTGCTATGGCTCGAGGCTGTGATACTTTACTTTCTGAGATGGTCCAAATAGTCTGTATTCATTGTTAGAAAATAAAAAACTTTTGAGTCACTTTATTTGTTAAAACTGTCTTCAATATATTTGCTGATGTGCAGATAGAATTTATTTTTAATAAGAAGTGTACACAATGTGTTAAATGTTTTTCCCTTTTATGCAATTTAGTATCTCAAGCTCTCAACATAAATATATTATTCTCAACAAATTGGGTGTTAAAATGGCATAGGTAAGTCATGTCGGACAACGTTATGAGGATAAAATGAACAGAACATTTGAAATTTTAATAAGAAATAAATAAAAGGGAAGAAACTTATAATATCAGTGAGGTAACACCGAGGGGGAGGTGGCGGCGGCGATGGGGCCTTCGATGGTGCGGAAGAGGGAGATAAACAATTGAACCACCCGTTCAAATATTCAAGTTTTCAAAGGAGATTCATACTTATTATCAACAATTAAGAAAAGAATAAAGATTTCACATATTTGAGTGGGTCAATAATAAAGGTCGAGCTAAGGTAGTCATGTACCCCTCCAACTTGTATTTAATTTCAGAATCTATAAAACAGGGTCAAAGAATCCAACCTCACCCCACCCCCCGGGTCGAGGTGGGGGCCTAAAAACTCCACTTAGGCATTGATGGTGTTCGTGCTAAGAACAAAATAAAACAAAAGGTCAAGCTCTGTATGTTGGGTTCTTGTTTTTGGTCAACTTCTTGAGTAAATTCATAACAAGTGATAGAGCACAATACAGTTAGATCCCGAGAACTCTCCGTAAACAAGCAAGTAAAAGGCTCAATTAATGGCCCTTGGACAAGGAAAATAACATACAGGACACTGACAATCAGAAAGTTGTTCTAAGCATTATTTTTCTGGCAGGTTCAAATAAGGACAAATTTTCTATATTTCACAAGTAGTTTTCTTACTTGGACGTCTGGCGGTGAGTGGCAACTTGCTTGCGCCATTCACGAATTGGAATCTGTGGTGACAGCAATAAGAACTTTGAAGTGAGTACTCAAATAATTTTAAGGGAATAACTGAAAAGAATATTTCTTGTTGATACTCATTAAGTAAACTTATTTATCAGAGGATATGAATAAAGTGTAAAGGAAATTCTTACAGCAGGGAAGCCGCCATAATCCCCAGATTCGTTTATATTCTTGGTGACACAGCTATTAGCTGCTAATCTGACCTGCAGCACCATTGCCATCAATTTGATTGGTATCAACATTATGATATTGGGCTCGAATTGCAGTNTTTGAAGGAAGTCATATCGGACCAGATTCATCCAAAAACTCTTCTAATTAGAAGAAACACTAACATTTATTATCACTCCTAAGGCTGTCCGTGAGTCGGTTCGGTTCGATTTTGAAGAGACCCGAACCGACCCAAAACTTTCGGGTATTTAATAAATGGAACCATCGGGTCCAAATATAATTATGGAACCGTTTGAGTTCGGTTCCGGTCGGTTCCGTACCATAATTAAATTTTTTAATATTTAAAACAATATTATATAAATACAACTAATGACATTTCATTCGTAACTTTTACAAATTAACGTCGCTCAATTCAAAAACATATAAATAACTAGTCGTCCAATAAAATTAATTCAATGCATACAAATACCAAAAAGTAGATATTAATATTACAGCAACACTACAGAAAGTATATTCATTTGCTTCAAATTAAAATGGGCTAATGGGTTTTAAAAACGATTTGGGCTTTAAAATTAAAATTATGAAATAATCTGATTTATTTAATTAATTTGCTAATTTGTTTAGAAAAAATAAAATAATTTAATTAATTCAATATAAAAAATAAAAAAATTATTTAGTTTCGGTTCTTATGCGATTATTCGGTTCTTGGTCTAGACCCGAGACCCGACCCAAACCCATCGGTTCTCGATTCGGGTACCCGTTCGGGTATTTAATTTATGAAGAACCGCTCGATTCGATTTGGTTCGGGTCGGGTTCTGTTCGAGACTTTTGGACACCCCTACTGAACATAATATATACAATATTTTATGTTAGGATGAATAAAAGTTGGCATTTGGCATGTACCAGCACTGCGAGCATCTTTAACCGCTGAATTTACCCATTTTTAACAATGCCAAAAGTTTCTTATTAAGAAACCCAAATAAAATTGAAGATAATGCTAACAATTCTCTCTCTCTCAAGCACAAGCGAGAATCAAGTGTAAGCCACGTACTTGCAGATATCAAATAAAAAAAACATAACGTAAGTTGCGTAGTCCTACATTCACATTTAATATGAGTACAGCACAGTCACAAAATTTTTGAATCCATGTGAGCCAATAAAGATAATCCGAGTCTCTATCTAGTACAACTCTGGAATTATGATTACTTTGCAACTTCATAATGTATATCTTACCTATTGAGTACGATATAATTCAATTGAACAATCACAAGTATTATAATCAAAATTCATGGAGCTCGTAAAAAAGTGAGAGCACAAAATGAAGTTGTACGAAAGTAGTCTAGAATGAGCAGGACATGCCCACAATTGTATAATACCTTTGAAGCAATGCAGACATGATCACGGATTGCAACTCTTCCGCCTAAAGTGACATAGTCTCCTATTCTGAAAATAAAAGACAGTAAAAAAGAATTCCAAGTTTCAGATAGCGATAGCTAACCAAACTTCAAAATGAAGTCAAATCAGGTTACTACAAATTTAATGAGAAATTTTGGAAATAAAAAAACGTACGTCACTGAACCAGCAATGCCAACTTGACCGCAAACCATGCAGTTATTCCCCATCACAACATTGTGACCTACCTAGAAATTGAAGTACATCAAATGCCTTGAACCCATGAATGAGTTAAAAACCGGCTAGCAAACGAAATCACACCTGAACCAAATTATCAATCTTTGAGTGATTCCCTATTATAGTATCTCGCCAACTGTATGTCCCAAAATGATAAGCAGCAGCATATGCAGTTACATTTTGAAAAATTAAGAAAGTGAAAATAGCAGTATGAAAGCATTCAAAGTCATAACAATTATTACCTTCCCCTGTCAATGCATGTATTTGCTCCTATTTCTACATGGTTGCCTATCCTTGCTTCCAAGTTCTGGAAATAAAAAAGGAAATGTTGTAGCGGTTGAAGAATAAATATAAAAATACTTGAATGCTGAAGTAGAAATCTGATTTACCCAAAATAAGAAGAGCATACCATTGAAAGAACACGAATAATGCCACTCCATTTCAAACCCCAACCTTACCCAACCCATCGCCAAAAGAAAAGAACAAAAGCACAACATATACAGACAAATAAGAAAAAGAAAGAAAGAAGATAAATGTGCAATTGAAGCAATGGATAGTTTTATTAGTAATTAAAATAACTGGAGAACTCGTATAGACACAAGTTTACTACTTTAGGGCACATGCATATCAACTATCAACAAGTTGGATTTTACGATTTTCATGCACCAAGAAAGTAGTAATCATTTATTAAAAAATTAAAACAACATTTGATCAGGAAATTGTCCACTATAACTAACTTGAGGCTTCTTCACCATGAGCCCTTGTTCATCAACGAAAAACCCAAAACCTGCAAGGAAGAGATAATGCAAGGTTCAACTTTAGATGATATCATTTGCAATATTGGTGGTATGCACTGACAACAACAATGTATGGCATATAAGATGTAATACTATGGCCAAACAAAATGTTTACAGCTAATAGATTAGTATAAATCTTAAATTAGTTCTAGTTCCCAGATTAGCAGTGTGACAGATTCACCATCTTGACCAATGCAGACGCCATTGTGAATAATACAAAAATCGCCAATTGTGCAATTGGTGAGTACAACATTATACCTGGAGCAAATAAATATCAAGGTCAGTGGGGAATCTCGGACAATGGGCGACAGCCCAATAAAAGTAAATAATGATCTATTGAAATATAAATTATTGTAAATAAAATAATTATAGCCAAAAAAAAAAGCAAATGATTGTCTTGGGTTTATTTTCTTTCATTTTATGTAAAATTGTATCGCTGCCTCCTATATTATGTACAACACAAGCGCTGAACACTGATACATGTCCAAGCATAGATTAAAAAAAAAGCCTAAGGTCCTGTGTTTAAAAAGCAAAGATCGAAATATAATAACTGAGGCTGAGTACCTAGATTCTGGCATGGGTAATTAAGCTTAAATGGAAGGGTCTATGTAACATAGGCTAACTCATCTTCAGGTGTGCATATGAACAGAAAAAAAAGGATGTATTTTTATTGCCTCTCGAAGCGCATTTGTTGTGCACAGAAGGAGATACACAATTACGAGGGATGGGAGAGTTGAATGCATAAGGACAAACATTAAGAAAATGTATTCACTTCTACAAAAAACATGATTGGTCGAAGTGTCAACTGTCTCCAGACTAAATGAATTACCCTAGTCTTGTTGATTGACCAACTGTAACAGCAGGTCCAACAATGCTTCCTGATCCAATGTGTGCATTTGCTGCCACGACAGATTTTGAATGTACCAATGCACCAGTTCCAATAAAAGCAGTTGGATCAATGCAAGAAAACTTATGAAACATGCCACCTCCATTGTGCCATTTCTGAAATTCTTGGCCATCTGTCTTAGCATCCTCCCTCTCTATCATGAATTTAAAGCACACATTTCATGTGGATTAGTAATTCTGAATAGATATCAAGCTAAAAGAACGCAAGCCAAGGCACGCAATTAAAATTTTAACTGCTATTATACTTATTCAGATAAAACTCACATGCACAATCATGACTAAATGCAGAAACAAGATATGAATTGATGCTCAATATTATAAGGTCGTTGATACATGCAGGGGCGGAGCGGAGGGGAGGGGGGTCCTGGGGGGGTATTGTTTATCAATTATGAGTAAAAGAGTTTCCTCAATCCTCGGGCTCAGTGATGGAGAAGTATTTCAAAAAATTAGTAGTTTCTTTTATGTGTTTCTTGATTTTTTTGTGAAATTTTCGTACATTAATTTATGTTCATTTGTTTTATTTCTTCGTCACAAAGTACCAACTTTCCTCGTTTTAACAAATAATGTTTCAAAAAAAATTTCGGGGGCAGCACCCCTGTGAGCCCCCGCCCCTTTAATTCCGGGACCCCCCTAGTTTGAAGGGCTAGCTCCGCCTCAGGATACATGGATACGTAAAATTAAACTCGTAGGTGATTAAACATGAAAGCATAATTATAAAGTTTCGATATATATGGCCTTGAAAGAATTTCACAGGCTTTTTCCTGTTTCACCCCGTAACAGTAACATATCTATGCGGCATTTATACAAATGGTTTGTGAGCATGAAAATACTTCAGATGACTTGATCTGAATTTCTTACCAATAAGACTGGTTTGGTCCGTTGAGAAGTGGTGTTGAGCGCGGATCCTCAACATGGGTCCTTTTGTGAACATGATAAGGAAATGTTCAGTAGTGTGGTTGGTGAAAATAGAGGCAGAGGAGAGCATAGTGGATAATTTTGTAATGCGAAATGCCATGGAAATTTGGTTCAGTGGCAAATCGCTGAGCTTTATTTCGATTTAGGGGAAAGTGCTAAGAGGAATTTCAGATTGTGGGGAGCAGGACCTGGGATTGAAGGTGACGAAGGGGTGGGGTGAATGTTGCAGTTTGGGTGGTGAAATTATTTGGGTAGCCATTACATTTTCCTGTTCCAACTTTTTGTCTTATGATTAATAATGTTATTTTAAAGATATTAACGAGGTCTCAAAATTACTCTTCATTTCCTCGAATAAGGTGAAGTGTACCGACACAATTGACAACATTAGTTGACAATCACGTGTTGTCAAAATCGAAGCTTGCGATGTAGAAAACATTTTTTAAAAATGAATATAATGAAGTAAAGTAGGATATTGCCAACAAATATTGTACATGTAACACGATTCCATTTTCTCACCATATTTCCCCACCCATTTTTCCTCACCATATTTCCCACGCATTCTTCCTCACCAACTCCATGATTTTTCATGGCTGCATTCTTTTCTTTGTTCTTTTGACAGTGGAGAAGTCGTAACATCCACAGTCAGCAAAGACATTCAACCAATGGAACATTACTTTAAATCAACAACAGTCGATGCTTAAATGCATAAATCAAAAGCTATAACTGCTTCCAGTGATGTAAAGGAAGCAATGGGAGTATCGTATGGAGAAGAGGGAAACGCAAATGACGATTACAAAAAATAACAGAGACCTCGACTTCCATAGAATGCGCCATTTCAACATCAAAAATCATGCAGGGATTTGCTGAAGTAATGCCCTGGCAGTTGAAGATCAAGAAACTCAAGATCAACTCGTCAAACTTTAGCACTTAACACCACATTCAGGATTCTGAAATGTGAAAACAGATGAAGTTGGTCCGATGATCTTCAAAGAGCTAGCAATACAACTAGGGATATAAAAAAGGTGGATGAAAGATCCATCGCACTATCAAATAAAGAAAATCTTGCAGAGACAGATCCAAATGAAAGCAAAGAACAAAAAGATTCAAGTTGCCAAAAAGAATTTGATATAATTCAACATGACCTAGTACTAGCAACTCTCAGGCAGGAAATAGAAAAACAGCAATCAGGAAATTTTTAGATGATATCAGAGATCCTTCCTTCCTTCCTTTCCTTTTTTTTTTTTTT